TCACTCCGGGGAAACTGGGGAGGGAGAATTAATTAGCGGCCGAGAGAGGCTGCCAGCAGTGTTCCCGACACGGCCGAGCCCGGCCCGTGTGTGTCTCCTTCGTCCCTGACAACGGCACCGCCGAGACGGTGGCGCAGGTTGTTGGCTCATTAAAGGCGACACGATCGTGTCCACTCCCACACACACGGTCGTAACCGCCTCTCGCTGCAGCCGAAGCCGCAGGGAGCAGCCCGAGGCTGCTGGCCCCAGCTCCAGGGCCTCCAATACCTCGCTGCACAGCCCTCTGGTGACAGGGTCTGAGAGGACGCAGGACAACCAACCACAAAAGGTGGACACTCCGCGGTGTGGAGGCCACAGCACAGCGAGGCCACCCTGGAAGGGCCCCCTCCCGATGGCGTGACCTGGCCACCGCCGTGCAGCACCCCAGGTGAGGTGGCCCTCCTGACGCCCAGCATGGTGCACATCCCCTCCCCCGCCCCCGGTGGTACCAGCGGAGGGGACAAAGGACACTGAGGGACCAGGCCTCCCAGACAGTGGGCCACACAGAGGGCCACCCGACCCGAGACCAGCAGCGTCCTGTGGGAGCAGGCAGCCTGGTACCCACAAAGGGCACCCCGAGTTCTGTCCATGAGCCCCCCACTGTGGCTGGCAGAGCAAACAAAAGCCAGGACCCCAGACCACCCTCCTGCTGTCACTCTTGACACTCTCCACGGGCCTGGAGCCCAGACCGGCAGGCAGGCGGCACCCACTAATGCCTCCGCCCTCCTCGGCCGCTCCGGGCACCTCTCTTCTGCCCGATACCACACAACATCCGTGGGGCCTGCTTCTCCCAGGGCCCTGCGTCCACTGGGCATGGTCGCTGGGTAGTGTCCAAGGCTCTCCAACTCCGTGTGCCTAAACAGGGCTCAGTATTTCCCCAGAGTCCATCCACCCACTGCCCCACACCGGGCGAATGGGCTGACGGGGGCTCTCTGGGCAGGACTCCCCACACGCTGAGGAGTCCATGGGCCTCCTGCTGAAGGACCTGGAGACGCTGGTGAGGACCGGACCGAACACTGAGACAGCAGCCTCCTGGCCCCGGGCGGCAGAAGGATGAGGCTGGGCCGGCGAAGGCTGGTCCTGCCCAGGCAGGGGCTGCAGGCACGGGCTGCAGGCAGGCACACGGGCCCTCCCTCCCCGTCTGGCTGCCGGAGTTAGAGATGGGATGGGTGGAGACTGAGCCCTCCCCCCTCCCAGCCCTGAACCAGAGGCGAGGGCGAGGCCCTCCCAGCGCCCCTGCCGCCTGGCACAGCCCTTCCGAGGGCCGGGTTTGCCCCGCCCCACAGAGAGCCACAGCGGCCAGGCAGAGACTGGACCGCAGGCACTCCCGCCGAGGGCCACACCGGGTAACTGGAGGGGCCCCTGCTCTGGGCAGCAGGGTGGCCCCAGGGGGAGCCCCACCTGTGCCAGCAGAACTCGGGAGAGGAAGTTGGAACACTTCCAATTCTCGCTAACAGGAGAGAGAGGTCAGAACCAGACCCAAAATAAGCATTAATGTACGACAGGGCGAACTCACTTAAGGAGATACTGATGCACCCTTCACAACCGGGCTCTTCATAATGACGAAAATTAAAGTGCACAGCACCTTTTTCAAAAGACACTGTGGGCTGTAGGGAGAAAATTAAAGACACTTTCGGAGTTAACGTTTGCTCTTTGTGAAATTTAATTAAAAGGAACTTCGTCCTGACACCTCGATGCCCCAGATCCGGAGTCTGATGAAAGACCGGGTTTCACAGAGGCCCTCCGAGCGTGCAAGCGCCCGGGGCTCTGGCACCTGCTTCATGGTGACGGGGACAGTGCAGTGATGGGGACGGTGCGAAGGGCCCGGCCCTCCCTGCCTCTGGGCAGGGCCAGGGCAGGCCGGCCCTGGAGCCCTGGCGGTTTCTCAAAGACACCGCCTCGCAGCACTGGGAAGGAAGCTGTTTCCCTGGAGGTAACTGTGCCTCCAATGCCACACCCAAGCACAATGCCATCCGGTGACGGGGTCAGGCCGCACCCTGGGTCCTTCCCGATGGCGTGTCTTGGCCCCGTGTCTCCTGAAGCACACGGGCCCCCACGGGCTCCAGTACGAGCACGGAGCTGTACCCGCCTGTCCCGCACGGCAGCCAGGAGAGTGGGCCCAGCGAATGTGAGTGCGCCCCACACTCCCGCCCAGGGTGCCCCCAAGCCTAACCCCGGGCACCTGTGGCCCCGGTCTTACTGGGAAGCAGGGTCTGCAAAGGTAGTGAAGGTGGGGTCACAGTGGACAAGGAGACCCCGAGTCCAGCGACTGGCGTCCCCTAAGAGGAGGGGATTTGGACGCAGGCACGCGAGGGCGGAGTCCTGCCTGACAAGAGGTGGAAGCTGAGTGGCGCGTCTCCACGCCAAGGACACGGGGCGAGGCCGGGAGCTGGGAGAGGGGCAGGGACAGGTGTCTCTCTGGCCCTGCTGACGCCTGACCCCTCACCCCGCACCATGGCGTCCAGGACTGCGAGGGCAGACACAGCGGCAGATCTCAGTGCCCGCTTGTGGTCGGAGCCCGAGGCGGCACGCCACACAAGGAGTGCCCTCCGTCTGGGGCCCCGGGGGCGGGCTGGGCTGTGCCACATGTCCCCACGCCTTCCGGCGGCCTCCTGGGGTTCAGTCTACTGAGCAGACACGCCCCTGGGCCGGGCCGCCCAGAGCAGGATGGAGATGCCGCACGGGAAAGCGGCTCCCCCAAATGCAGGCACCAGGGGTCAGGGGTCAGAACGCAGACTCCCTCTCCCGCCCACAACGCAGGCACCCGTGTTTCCATGGGGAGTCTGAGGACCAGGCCTCGAACTCAGACCCAGGACGCACACCCAGGGGACGCGGCTGCACGGTGCCTGCAGCCTGGCCCTCCTCCGAAGAGCACGGCCCCGCGCAGGCCTTTGGACTCGCCCAGGGACTCGCCCAGGGCCATGCGGCACCAGAGATGGGCGGGGCCCTGGACCAGCGCATCCTGCCCACGCCTCCACCGACTCATAAACGGGCCGGTGGGGTGGAGGGGGGCTGTGTCCCCGGTGCCCCCAAATTGGAAGCCTGCTACCACAAAGCTCTCAGTAGCTGAATGCTGAAAGGTTAGAATGGGCTGATTAAATTACATTTGCATATGCATTGCCATTTTTGAATACTCAAGAAATAAAAACTCGCAATGCTTCTCAAACAAAGCAGACTTCATGCATATTCAAATCTTCCCTTGGGTGGGGGTGCTTGGTCTGTTAGCCGATGGGCCTGACCGGGGCCCTGTGGAAGGCAGCTCCCGTCCCCATGCAGGGACCCGCCCTGTGCCGGCCACTCAGACGGCCCAGCACAAAGCGACAGGCCCAGGGCCGCGAGCTCGGCCCCGTGAGAGGCCCGCGGCCTTTCTCACTGCAGATGCTGGAGGGCCCGCCCGGCCTGCAGGCGTGAGGGCCCAGGGCGGAGGGGTCGGGGGGGGGGGGTCCCACGCTCTGCTGCCTCGAGTGCTGAGGACTGCACCTCGGCGGGGGGGGGGGGGACACAGGCTTCTGCCCCCGGCACCTCTGCAGCCGCCTGCGCCACCTGCCCGGCCGGCCCCACAGGAAAGGGTTTCATAAACGCTTTGAGCCAAGAAAAGCAACCCCACAACACTTGCCTGGCACAAAAGGAAAGAAACCCTTTCCTTAACACACCGCCACTAGGGCGGTGGCTCCCCGGAGCCCCTCACTCCCAGAGGTGGCCCCCATGGGCCTTCCAGAGGGTAGTCCCCCTTCTCACCGTGGCCCGTGTGCTGCTCAATTGAAGTTTCAGTGAGTCAAAATTAGTTTAACTTAAAAATCAGCCCTGGCTGGTGTGGCTCAGTGGATTGAAAATCGGCCTGCAAACCAAAGGGCCGCCAATTCGATCCCCAGTCAGGGCACACGCCTGGGTTGTGGGCCAGGCCCCCAGTAGGAGGCGCAGGAGAAGCAACCACGCACTCATGTTTCTCTCCTCTTTCTCCCACGCTTTCACTCTCTAAAAATAAATAAAGTCTTTTCTAAAAAATCAGTTCCTTGGTCTCATTTTGAAGTACTAAATGCCTGGAGACTAACCTACTGGACATTGCATCCTCCAGAACCTTCCACTGCACAGCTGCTGTGGAATCTCCCTGGCTCCCACGCTCTCCCACGGCCGGGCTTTCCCTCCTTGCTGGGCCCCCCCACCGCTCACCCCGCCAAGGCCCCTGGGCTCCACTCCTGGGTCTCCTGCCCTTTGATCTGAACAACACTGCTCTGCGTGTGTCCCCCTGTGTCCCTGTGTGTCCCTTGTGCTGCTGTGATTGACGGGGGAGGGCCATCCACTCTGAGACACCGGAGAGAGGGGCCGAGAGCGCGGGCAGAGACGGGACGCCCCTCAGCCCCGCACTCGCAGAGTCTGCACTGGCAGACGCCTGCTCCACCCGAAGCAGTCTCCAGACCCGGTGGGGCCCACCGAGACACCACAGCACGCCAACAGAATGAGGAAACCAAGCCTCAGAACGGGGACCACCACAGACCCCGGGAGCTGAGCGGCCTTGGGCCCACCGACCTCCCACTGCCCCCCAGTGTGGACGAAGGCTCAGCCTCCTGCCCTTCGGGAATGTGCTCCCTCTGCCCACTGGGCCCGGCTCCGCCCAGCGGGCCCCGCAGGGAAGCCAGGCGGCAGCACCCAGGAGAGGAGGGTGGCAGACTGGCCTGCGCGGCCTCCTCTGCCGCCTTCAGACCCACCTGGGACAAGCGCAGCCCCCCCTGCTCCATGGTCCCTTCAGGTTGGCTGGGGCAGCCTCCTCCCCGTGACAGCCCCGCCCCGCCCTGCCCCCTCTCCCTGTGGGCTGTCATCTGTGCGGGAGGACTGAAGGGCCGCCAGCTCCTCCTGTGGTGTAGTCGAGTGGCGTCTGGCTGCAAGTGCAGCGCCAGCAAGTCTGCTCCCTGTCCACCCCCACGCGGGGGCCGTCTAGACGGCCCCCCCCTCGCGGAGCCCACCTGGTAGGTGTCCCACAGGCGCACAGTGCAGCGCAGGGGCAGCTCCCTCATCAGCAGGTTGTTCATCCAGCGGAAGGCGAACTGCAGGTACCGCACCTCGTGCTGCTCCAGGTGCCGGTGCACCTGCTCTGCAAGACACAAACGGGGGGCTGTCGGGGGGCTGCCCGGGCTGGGCCTCGAGACCCGGCGGGGACAGTGGTCCAAGAGGCGCGGGGCAGAGCCAGGTCGCCCGCCCCTGGCCCCCCAGGCAGAGGCCCTTCTCCTGCCCCAGGCAGGCCCGCCAGACACTGGCCGGAGTCGGGGTCTGCAGGGGGAGAGAGATGGGCCCGCCAGCCCCTCCACCTCACCCAGGTGAACGCCCCCTGCTCCCAGGCCCCGGTAGTGGGGGCCAGGCGGCACGGTCCTGGGCACAGTGGGGCCGTCTGGGCCCCTGGGAGGGACCAGCTTTATCCCCCGCACCCTCGCCCACTCTCCCATCAGGGGCAGTCGCCTGTCTGCGGTGCGCTGCACTGGGGTTCACAGCCGACATCCCTGCAGCCGGGTCCGGGGCCGTGCCCAGCAAGTGGGGGGCAGCCAGGCAGAAAGGCCTTGGGGCCATGGAGCCCTGGAGCCCTGGAGGGGTCACCCCCGTGGAGTGCGCCCTGGCCCCGAGGCCCCGCGTGCCTACAGGAGGCAGCCGCCCTCGCCCACACACAGGGCCCTCCGAGTGCTGTCCGCACACTGGACAGCCGGCCTTGCTCTCGTGGGGGCGGCCACGCTCCCGGACCACCAGGCCTCCCGGGAAGGGCCGTGCCGAGGGGTGAGGTGTGCCTCCTGGAGAGCAGAGGGACCCTGGCAAGCCGCCTCCTCTTCGGAGCACGTCGGAGCGCGGACGACGTGGCTGCAGGGTGCCTTTCCTCGCAGACGCCAGAGCTGCCGACACCTGTTTTCTGCTCTGCAGGCCACGCCAGCGGACACTGCCTCGGGACAGGCGACCAGGTCAGGGGCGATTCTGAACCCGCAACCCCCATTTCACTGGCAGTGAGGGGCGGCCTACAGTGAACGCGCAGGCAGGTGTGAGGCCTGCCTCCTCCCAGGCTGAGAGGCTCTACCCACGACCCCGTCCGTGGCCAGGGCCTGAGGTGCCGAGGAAGGGGCCGGTCAGGTGGGCACGCGGGAGAGGCCACCACGTTTGCTGGCCGCCCCTCTCAGCACGTCTGCAGATTGGGAATTCTGCTGGAAGTCTCGTCTACTTGATTAAAGGTAAAAGTAAACTATGCAAACACATTACACCCCAGGATTTACACTAAAAAGAACAAAAGCCCACGGAACCCGCTGACTTGGCACGAACCCGAGGCTGCATCCACAGCCCAGGCACTGTCCGGAGTCGCCCGCCTGCCCGGCGGGGTGCATGACGAGGCGCACTTTTCAAAGCCCCTCTGCAGGCGGCGGGCAGATGCAGGTGCGGCAACGTCGGCGGTGCCTTGAATAGGCTCTGATTCAGGGGGATGTTTCGACTCTAATCAGTCAAAAGATACAAAGAACAAAAGCCAGCCCGAGAGCGGACGTGGCTGCTTGTAGCCAAGAGGCCTCCTTCCGTCCGGGAACTCGGTGTGTGAACAGCTCGACCAGACTCAGTGCAGGCCTGGCGCTGTACCTGGGAGGCGGGGGGCCGAGCTGGGGGGGGACAGGAAGGCAACGGGCAGACCTCAGGCTGCCGAGTCAGGAGAGGCCCGGTTCAACCCTCGGGCAGCTCTGGGACGTCCCACAGGCTCTCCCAGGAGAGTCCCTGGCACGGTGGCGGCCACAGCCCAGGGGCCTCCCTCAGCTCAGAACCCAGTCCCTGGCGGACGCTCCGGCCGACGAGCAGCGCCCGGCGGGACAGCCCTCAAATGGCTGCTCGAGGCTGTGGCCAGGCCCGTGTTGGGCGCCCCGTGGACCCCTGGGCCACCACAGCCCACCAGCGAAGTGGCAAAGGGGGCAGCAGTAAAGACAAACTGAGTGGAAGAGGCCAGGCTCAGGGCCAGCACCGGCCACAGGGGACACCTGTCCTGACAGGGCCACGCAGCCTGGAAGGGGGAGGGCAGGGCGGGCTGACCACCTCGGCCACGGCCCGGCACCGGGCACACGGCCACATGGGGATCCTGTTCCTCATTGTGACACCCGGCCACCTTCCCGAGAAGACCACTGTCTGTCTTCCGAGAACCCTGCTCCCCCCAGAGGTGTCCTGGGGATGGACAGGCAGGCAGAGCCGTTCCAGCCATTTCACAGTCTCGGGACTTCACCGAGGGCACAGAGGGGAATCTCAGCCCCGCCCCGCCGGGCACCCTGCGCCCAGAGGCCCAGCGTACCTCAGACAGAGGGTGGGTCAGGGCGGCAGACAGACAAACGGACGTGAGAGCAGAGGAGATGACGGAGGAGGCAGCTCCGTGAGTCAGGAGGGACGGGACGCTGCGCCCAGCGGCCCACGGAGAAGGCCCTTCCCAGAGCCCGGCTGAGGCACAAGCCCGCCCACCTCCGTCACGCGGCGGTGTCCTGCTGACCCAGGGTCATCTGAAGTGTGGAGGGTCCCACACTCGGAGGAGGCCGAGGCGGGGCGCAGGGCCCAAGAGGCGAATAAGAAGCAGCTGCACGCCCCGTGCCCACACCACCCCGTCCTGGCTCCTGAGCAGGGAGACAGACACACGTCCACAGACGCCAGCACGGGCAAGAGGACCGAGCTGCCAGGGCCCCTCAGCCCGACTGCACCAGGCAGGGGCGGGGGTGTGACTGCAGCTCAGAGGAGACTGGGAGGCCACCGCGGCCCAGCTCGCAGAGGACCCCGAGGGGCCGTCGCTGGCCCTTCGTGACGGCAGGCGGTGCCCCGCCACCTCTCAGGGAGGGGCCACGGCTCACGGGCTGGAAGGAGAATGACCCCGCCGCAGTGACCGTCTCCTCCAGCTGCTGGCTCGGACACGGCCTGACAGCGGAAGACAGACACTGACTCTTTATGGCGAGGGACAGAAAAGGGCTCACAGTCCCTCCAGCAACTGGTGACCACGGACAGAACGACTCTGGGGAATCATTTCAAAGCCAGGTTTGATGGGCTGCCTTGAGTCCAGACCACTTTTCCTCCTTAAGGTCAAGGAGAACTGCGTTATTTGGAAGTCTTCACTTTAATTAAGTAGTCTCAGCTTGGCAATAAACTCTGAACATCAATCTCGGGACACAGGGTCACAAAGATGTCACTGTTAAGGAGAAAAGCCTCTCAATCACGACCCGTGGGCGTCACACGGGGCAGCCACTGCCGCCCCCCAGTGCGCAGCACACGCGCCCACCAGGGCGGCTGAAACGGACCCTGCAGTGCAGCTGGGGGTCCGGGAAGGACAGTGCGAAGGGGCAGAGCCTCCGCCCCCACCGTGGCCCTGCAGAGGGAGGTGGAGCCCAGTGTGGACGGGCCCGAGGCTCCAGCCGAGGCCGTAAATGGGCGGGAGGGGGTCCGTCTCAGAGGCCACGGCTCTGTGCAGAGGCTCACGCGGCCCCGAGCCGGCGCGGGGCATGGGGATGGAACAGAGCCTGTCAGCGCTCGGTCTCCTAGCACAGAACTGAACGTCCTTGGCAGGCGGAACCCAGCCGGGCACGTCCAGGTGGGATCTTGAGAGCGACCTGGCTCCCTGGGCCTGCGAGGGATGTGAGCGGGCCGAGAGCCCGAGGCCCTCTCGGGACCCTGCCAGTCTGAACGAGGGCAGAGAGCTGTCCCTCGGTTTATGGAGAATAACCGCCTCTGCCTGCTCAGGGGAGGAAGCCTGAAAACTGGCCTAAACTCGGCAGAAAACCAGGGGTTGGGACGGTGGTGAGGCCCAGAAGAGGCGGAGCAAGGGAGCAGGGGAGGGTCCAGGAGGGTCCCAGGTGACAAGGTCAAAGCCAAGCTCTTCCAGCAGCACTGCCTTGCTGATAGCAAGCGGTCACGGGCCTGACCCTGAGGTCCTGAGATGACTGTGGGGGGGCCCAGGGACTGGGCTGCTCTCACTCGGGAGAGGGGGCAGTCCCCTGACCACTGCACTGAAGCCCCCAAAGCCACTGCCGCTGCAGGAGCCCTGCAGCATGGGGGCGCCCTCCCCACCCACCCCCCAGCACGTGCAGGCCCCCTGCCCGCCGTGCTGGGGCCCAGGGGTGAGGGCGCAGCTCCCTCCTCACAACTGGACGTGCCCGACGCTCTGAGCTCCTCCCGCCCCTCAGAGCCACGTGGAGGGTGAGGAACCAGAATACACGAGATGACGGCCAGGAGTCCCAAGAGGAACCTCGGCAGTGGGGACGGGTCTGGTGGTGGCCTCACCGTGGCCGGGCTGCAGCCCCCGAGGAAAGTCAGGGGCACGGGCAGGCCGGGGGGCTCGCCGAGCCCACAGCACCGCACCGCACCCCCGAGCAGGCGGGAGTGGGGGCCAGAGAAGGCGCCTGGCTCGTAAACACGCACTTCGCCGCGTCGTTGGGAAAAGCCGGCACAGCAAAGAGACGCAGGGGAAGGACTGGGGGCCCTGCCTGGCCCAGCCCGGCACCGCACCGACACCAGCCGCCCTGAGCACCGTGAGCGGTGCCGCGGGCACGTTCAGGGTCAGGGACGGGGCCGGGCGCGTGCTCCTCACACGGTCTCTGCGCCACACCAGCCCCGCCCCTTTCCTTTGGTACCAGATCATGCACGCACCCCTCCTCCAAACACGCGGCAGAACGCACCTGCGGGGGGCCAGCCTGACTCAAGGGTCATGACGCCCACCTAGACAGAGGACTCGGGGTCTCAGGGGCAGCGCCTGGCCGGGAGGGCCTGCTGTCCCACCACCCGGTCCGGCTCTGCGACACACAGTGACTGAGCCAAGGGACACAGAGCTGTGCTCACATCGGACAGGCCCCTGAGCCGCAGGTCCTGAAGCCACGGCCTGAAGTGAGTGAGGGGACAGGCAGGACAGCGCAACCCTGCGGCGCCTCGGCCTCGGGGCCCCCGCACGTCCTGACGGCCTGCACGTGCCCCGCCGACCCCCAGTCCGTGCATCCCGTGCGGACATGGCCCTCGCCACGGTGTCCCCGTCAGGGCACAGGGAGTCCCATGCTCCTGGACCGTCCCAGGGCTACAGCGGCACCGCCGCCTCTGTCTCTGATCTCTGACTCTTCCCTACGGCGGTAACGAAGACACTTTCACTCGGCCGACGACGAGGCTGAATCCAGTTTAGCAGCTGTAACTGAATTCTCCCTGGAAAGAATAAGTCAGTTCCAACCTGCGCTGCAGTCGAGACGCCTTTCAGAGCAACCTCATCTAAGTCACACGGAGCCCCAACTCAGACACGCAGGGAAGGGGGCCCGCACCTGCAGGCGCGGAGGCCGGACACGCCGTGGAAGGGCCGCTCTCCCTTAGAAAACACCCGAGTTTGTCACACAGGGGTCAGAGTGCACGACTCTAACAGCGACGGCCAAAGCCACCCTTGGCCTTCCCAGGTTCAGCTGGTGTCATCCGTGCTGACGGGTGTCCCCGGGGGACGGAGGAGCCTGCCCAGGGAGCCATGCCAGACACCGCCCCTGGCCACCCAAACAGGCCCAGGTGGCCAGGCAGAGCCACCCTCAGAGACAGCCCGACCTTGAAGAAGGCTTTGCAAGCCCCACACACGTGTGTGCACACACGCACACATGCATGCACCTAGACATGCACGTGTGTACAGGCACACATGGAGTTGCATGCTAAGTGAAACGGCCGTGCACCAAGTTGGTCACACGTTTCCAGTTTCTTAGGCAAGAAAACAGCAAACAGCAGGGACCAGCCACAAACGTCAGGGTGTGTCCACCTCAGGTGCTCGCCACCAAGCCGCTGCCCTCGCTCGGGCCTAGAGAAATGGAGAAGAGAAGCCAGAGCACGTGTGCGGGGGAGCAGGGGCCACGCGGTGTTTCTTCTCCGAGGCCGGAAACACGGTCCAACTGCCGCGGTTGGGAGCCACGAGAGGCGAACTCAAACACGGAGCGGACAGGCTCTCGGACGGGGGCGGGGGCAGCGGCATCGAGGGCGGAGAGGGCAGGGACGGGGAGGAGGACGGGCCCGTGAGCGAGGGTGCGGGCGCCGTGGAGACGACTCACACCCCGCAGCCCCTGGGGGCAGATGCTCCAGCACAGAGACCCCACCCGCCCTGGGCGTCCCCCAGGGGGCGCCGGCCCAGGTGCCAACGCTCCGGGAGGGCTGCGTCCCTGTCCGAGGCCTCAGAGGGCACAGGGGCAGGGCAGGGGCCCGTCCGCAGCCTGTTGGGAACCGGGAACTTGGCGGGAGGTGGGCATCTGAGCTCCGCCTCCTCATCCCGGCCCCCCACCCGTGGAAAAACTCTCTTCCACCACACGGGCCCCTGGTGCCAAAAAGGCTGGGACGGCCAGTGCAGGGGTCGGACCCACTCGCTCCGTGAGGCTGCCAGGGCCACGGCTCACTTTGGGGCCGCGTCTCCCTGACGAGGGGGCGCCCTCGGACGTGCCGCCTGCGCCCGTGGCGCTCACCTCTCCGGGTCCTGCCAGCTCTGGGGATCGGGCCGGGAGTCTCCGTCCTCCCGGTAGCGGCTCCACGCTTTTCAGAAACGTGGTTTCTGCTTCCTTCTATTTCTCTTCTTCTTTTTGCTTAAAAATCTCGCCCGGTGTTTCTGAGGTGCCTTCAGTGGAAACTTGGTGGAAGTCTCGGCTCTCCCCACTCACACCTGGCCCTCCTGTTCCACAGCAGGCGGCTCGGGCCTCCCGAGCCTGTCCTGCCCCCGAGGTTACAGGACAGACCCCGGGTCCCTCTCGGGCGGTCCGGCTCACGCTCAGCACGGACCCTCATCCCCGCAGGGTCCAGCCTCTCGGGCCGCTGCCCTTCCTGCTGTCCGCCTGGGTTCTGCGCAGACCCGAGCCGCCCCCTTCGATCACAGCACCCTTGCGCCCACAGAGCAGTCGCTTCCAAAAGGTCTGGGGGTAACAGCAGAATGCAGGACGGCTCAAAATGGAACCCCGCTGACAGTGCTTCTTACACGTCCTTCAGCCACTCCTCCCCACCGGAAATGAGGACAGTGGCACTGCCCCTCTCTGCTCACCCCTTGGCTTCCCTCTGTGCCCCGAGACATGTGACCTCTGCCACCTCTCCATCCTCTCCTGGCTTCTGGGGCACGTCCTCACGACGCTTCTGCTGGAACATCCGCCTCCTGCAGCTGGACCCTGCAGGGTGGCTCAGCTCTCTGTGCCCCACCTCTCCTCCCCCAACGAGCCGCCAAGTGCCAGAGCCCCGGAATAACTGCTCTTCTTCCCCGAAAATGCAGACACGACGCAGTGGTGTTTTTAAAGGCAGTTTTTCCTTCCCCCCATATCCTGCCTTTAATAAAATCTTTCCAGTCCCAGGAGAGGCTCCAAGCCCACACACTCTCCCTCCAGGAGGTGACTGCTTGAAATGGCGGAGGGGGCGTCAGGTGGCTGAGGCCTGGGGCACGGCTCCCACCAGCTGGAGAGTCCGAACCTGTCCCTCCTGCAGGTCTCCTGCGTGAGAGCCGGGCCACTTCTGTTCTGGGGCCGTCACAGGGTCCCCTGAGGGTCCGCTGGGAGAACACACACGTCGCACAGTGTGACCTGCTACGGTCCAGCCTCCTCTGGGTGCAGAAGGGCTGGTGACCTAACGGAAACCCGCGGGACGAAGCACCGTCCTCGCATGCAGAATGGCACATGCACCTGTGACCGACCCACAGGCCCGGGGGGGGGAGGGGGCCTCCAGCCGCCGCAGCCGCCACCTCAGCCAGCGCTGGCAGCCCCGCAGCGCAGGCCTCCCACACCACGCAGCGCAGAGCGGGGCTGTCCAACCAGGTCCCAACTGCGGCCCAGGAGCAAACGGGCGCTCGCCACAACTGCCTCACCCCCACGCACTTGCGACACCTGCCCTGCAGGACACCAGAGGAGAGGAACAGGACCCCCAAGGCGGCGACTCAGCACCACAAATCCTACTTCAGAGCACCAAGCGAGACTGGGGTGCAGTCTGAAGCTACTGGTTGGAAACTGGCCAACAGGTCCAAGAACGGTCTCACTGTGGAATCGGCAGCACACGCGCCCACACAGCTCCACCAGCAGAAGGTGGCACTCTGAGCAGACAGGCTGCAGGGCCGCTGAACGTGCTGAATCGAGTCAGCGTCACCGGCAGAGCCGTGAAACTGCACAACGTGCAGACCCAGTAACAGCCGTCAGACACACGGCTGGGACCCAGGCTGCACCGAGGACCGTGACGGGGTCCCGCATCGGCTCCGGGGGGCGTGTCGGTCAGCGATTCGCAGGCCGAGCGCCTCTGTCATGCAGACGCCCACTGCCGAGGCGGTCTGCAGGCAAAGGCACAGGTTGGGGGGCGGGGGGAGCACAGGGGCACTGACGCAGCAACGCAGGCCCAGGCACAGCAGGCCCCATGTCCACACGGAAGCGGAGCGCCATTTCCTACGCATTCGGCAGAACGCCTGCGGCTTCCCCAGAGCTCTCCACGGGAGACCATCTCCCTTCTCCGGACCTCGTCACTGGCTGGTGGCACAGATCTTCGCCTGGTTCTGCTTGCCATCTCTGTTAATGCTCTGTTCATTAATTCAACAGACTGCCAGGAGAACAGGCCCGGCCCGGCCGGCACTCTCTCCGCACTTAATTAAACCTTGCTGCGGCCGTGTGACAGGCAGCGAGCGCATCACAGGGGCGGGGGGTGAAGGTGGAAGGCATCGCGAAGCCCCCACTCACACACGAAGGCACAGGCTACGACGGCCTGAGCACACACTTTAATTTCTCCACACTACGAAAGATGTCGTTTCCAGACCTGGTAATTAATTGGATTCCGTGGAGAAATCACGCCAGCATCCCTGGCAGGAGGCACCGGCAGGAAACAGGACGGAGGACGGCCATGCGCAGCGCAGTCGCCCCAGGCGCGACCGTCGCCAGGCCTAACGGAGCGGGGACTGCCCGCCGTGGGTGCTCTCGGCCCCCCGCGCTGCGCGGGGATGGCCCCCCAACCCCACTGCCGCCTCCCGCAGCCTCCACGCCCCCTGCCCGCCGCGGGGCTGGCTTACCATCGATCCGGCTCACGAGCTCTTCCAGCATCCGCACTTTCACCTGGATCCCCGGCTGGGCGAAGGTGTAGTTGTCCTGAAGAAAAACAACGGCGAGTGTCACGTCACGGGCACAGCCAGGAAACACGCTCTGCGGGGACACGGCGGAGGGACACGGCAGGACCACCTCTCAGAGAGGCGCGTGCCCGTGCGGCAGGCTGCAGACGCCGCCCACGGCAGTGCCCGCCAGTCCGACTCCGAGGTCCAGTCCAGCCTCCCTGACGTCAGGGGCTCAGCGGGGACATTCAAGGGACACTTCGCGTGTCAGTGTGAGACCTTCAGACGGAAATGCAGCCACTGGGCCCGGGCAGGCAGAGCTCCTTCTGGGGACGCGTCTGCTGCATGGAGGGCTTGGGGACCAGACTCCAGATGCAGAAGGCATGGGGGACAGAGGCCCCGGGACCAGTACTGTCACCACCGAGAGCACAGCTTAGACAAAGGGCGCTGACGCCCCTTCCTCCAGGCCTGGGCACCTCAGCCAGCGCCCGGGCCCTTCGGCACCAGGGCTCCAGCTGGACTTGCACAGGGAGAGGCCTGCACCCCCTGGTGGCCACGGGAGGCTGCACAACGGCCCTCGATGCCCAGGGCCCAGCCCCTGGGGCCCGGCAAAGGCGGTTAATGCTGCCGACCGACCGCCTGTGGCAAGCGGGCCATTCCCCTGGATCGTTCTGGTGGGCCCAGAGTAGCCCCAGGGCCCTCTGGGTAGTAGAGGGCTGCAGGAGAGGCGTGTCAGGGGCAGCGAAGCCAGGCAGACTTGCCGGCCTGCTGCTTGGAAGGTGAGGACGGGCCAGGCCAAGTACGCAGGCTGGACAGGCCAGGGCACAGGTTCGCCTCCAGAAAGGACACGGCCAGCCCCCAACAACCCCACGAGACCCCCAGCCTCCAGGTCAGAGAGCGAACACGGCTGTGGCGACCGGTCAGAAAAGCCCCAGCAGCTGTCACAGGAGGCCTGGGGCTTGTCCTTCAGTGGGTCCTACGACCCGTGAAGACGTAAAAAGGCGAGCACAGAACCCGAAGCAGCCGAGTCCACAGCACTGCGCCCTGGACCTTGAACTCCGTGGAGCGTGTGGCCCCCACGGGCCTCACCAGGGGTGAGCATGGCAGGGCCACGGGCAGCGGCGGCCCAGGCCCAGCGCTCGGGCAGGTGCGAGGTCAACAAGGGGAGTCCTCCTGGCGTTGCAGACAGTGGGGGACGCGCCTGCTGCTGTCGCATCTGGGTCAGCGGGCGCCTGCACATGGCGGGAGGCACGAGAGGCTGCCGGCCTCTCCCGCGTGGGGGCGGGTCCGTGAGGGCAGCGCACAGGCAGCGGCCCCCCGCCCTGCCGCCCTGCCTTCGGGCCGAGGAGGGAGGTGGGGGCAGTCGGACGTGACGTGGAACACGCTTGGGGGCGATGTCCCCCCTCACAGGGGACAGGCCCTCAGCACTTGAAGACCCCGGACCCGGTGCAGGGACGAAGGAGCACGTGGCCCCGGGGCGCCTGGCAACGGCCCTGGGCTGGGGCAGCAGCCCTGCCCCAGAGGCAGACGGCGGGGTCTCTGAGGAGCCGGGCTGGGCATGGAGACAAGCGGCTGGGGTGGGAAACGGACGGGGGGGGGGGGGGACCCTGCAGCCTCGGCAGAGGCCCCGAAGGTGACCTGATGCTCGATTCCGACAAACGTCGGGGAAACCACGGCGCCCATGGCTCCAGGAAAACACGCCAGGAAGCAGGGGCCCCACTGAGGCCGCCTGCCCTGAAGGACTGGGGGTCCCCCTGCCCGCCCCTCTCCAAGGAAGCTACATTCCGGGCCGACGGGGACCCAACAACCAGCCGGAGGAGCCAGGAGGCCACACCCCAAACCTGGGGTCCGCTCCCGAGGGCACTCAGCTGGGGCCGCTGCTGCCCCCTTCTGCCCCCGGAGTAACGCCCCCGAAAGGCAACCTGCCACCTGCTCCGCCCAGGGGCTGAGCAGAAGGGTCTGCGTCCGGCTAAGTGGCGGCCCTGCACGCGAACACCAAGAGCTCAGAGCTTCCGCAAGAAGCACACGGAGAACGCGTGGCGCCCTGGCCAGAAACAGCGCGTCTCAGCGAGTTTGCGGGAGAGCCTCTCCACGGAGGAAAGAGAACCGTGAGTCACAGGTCTCGGGGAGATAAAGTCCTCCGGTCAGAAAACACTGGTAAAATAAAATGCACTGACAGACCACAAACTGGAGGGAAAAAATATTCTCCAAAAACAGGCAACTGAACAAAGCCCTGCGATGGAGCATCAGCAAAGGCGACGCAGATGCAACGCTGGCGGGGACGCGGCGTGGCCGGGACTGGCCGGTGCTCCCCCCCCCAGCACCCCACACTCACGGGCCTCACGGGCCACACGTGCGCACACAGACACGGCTCAGAGCTGCTGCAGCGTGGGGCCTTCCCGGGGGCACGCCCTCTGCCCCCACACACATTTCCTCTGGGAGCCACGTAAAAGCCACGTCGCCGCACGATGGTCGCTCCGGTCGTGGTCTCTGCCACGCCCCAGCCCTTCCATCGGTCGCCCAGCGTCGGAGGCGCGGCTCCTCAGAGCCCCACACCCCGGACCCCGCTCTAAACGCAGTCTGGCCCAACACACACTCTTCTGGAGAACACCGCACGTGGTGTCCGCTTCCACTGGCCGCCGCCGTGCCGGGTGCAGCCTGCTTCCCGTGCAATCGCCACCTGGCGGTCTCGCCGGTGGGTCCCGCGCCTCTCCTCTGGGTCGTCTCCCATCCGCCGAGTGCCAGCGGCTCCCCCCACCCCCGCCATGTCTCAAGTGGCGCTGTGGCCCTCCCTCTGCAGACCTGTGTCGTGGACGGAAGAGCGGGAGCAGTGGCCTCCGTCAGCATGGCCCCCCGGCCACCAGCCACGCCGGCTTCCCCGCACTCCTCCCTTCTGGACCTACTTCTCCTCTGCCGCGTCCTAACCTGTCCCATCTCTCTGTCATCCTGCCGCCGACTCGGTTACTGTCTCCTGTTTTAACTGATCCGCCCGCCGTGACCTGGCTGCTAGAAGGCATCTGGTTCTCTTTGGAAACCCGTGGGCTCTTTCCACAGTCTCCCTCTTCCCACCACGCTCCTCCTTTACCGGAAGCGTCCGAAACCCGCATGTGCTGCGGTCCCTGCACCTCCGTCTGGGGTCTCGATACAACCCCTCCGGACCCCGCATCGGCTCGCTGCGTCCGTCCGGGTCCTGTCCGTCCCCTGCGGCCAGCCCGTCCGCGGGGGCCTGGCCGTGAGACACCCACAGGCCTGTGCATGGTGACAGCTTCCCTTGAGGGCAGCGGTCCTCCAAGTGGACGGCCAACCACTGGGTCCCCGAGAGGGCTGGCACGCCGGCACGAATGAAGGCAAGGCCACCAAACTGTTCCCTGATACCAGTGTTCACCGTGGCAGAGGGAGAAGCAACCTCATTTGATGACACGGGAAAAATTCCTAACTTTACAATATTGTGTTGGATCTGGGCCCTTGAGTAAACACGTCCTCAATATTCCGAGGGGCAAAATGGGAAGGTCACCCCGAGTCCTCAAGACGCGCAACCCAGAAACGTGGTTTCTTCGAGCAAAGCTCTTTGCTGCACTGCTTGAGCTGGGAGCTGAATTAGACACATTTTTCAAGAAACCTCGTTTGTACTCGAAAGAAGTAATAAGAGGCAAACTGGTTAATCACACGGGTACCTGGCAGACATTCTCCCAAAACGAAACAGTTAACCTGTCACTTCAAGGAAAATAACTGACGGTACTTGTTACCAATATCTGAGTTTCTGAGCCAAAACCCGCCCTGCGGAGAAGCGCCACCTGCCCCCCGGGCTGCACAGCCTCTGCTCGGAGCCGGGGGGCGGCAGATGGCAGCAGGGGCCCCGGCGTGTGCGACAGCACCTGCCCCGCGTCGAAGGCGCGCACACCTCGTGCGGGCCGGGCTCTTGCACACCACGAGCAGACGGCGTCACGGGGCCGTCGTGGGGGAAAGGCCCAGACAGGCCAACGGGCTGTGAGGTGGCCAAGTCCAAACGTCGTGGACGTGGCTTCGGACTTCACGCTGCAGTTGGCGTTCAGGCACCAGCATTTGCACCGGTGCACAGTATCCGCTCGAGGATGGTAACACCCACAGGCCCTGCCAGGGTGGGCGGACCTCCTCCCCTCCCAGAGGCCCCGGAGCAAGGCCACGCCTCCCTCAGCCGCTGTCCGGAGGCCATGGACCAGCGTGGAGGCGCCACACGGCCACGGAGCCTCCCGTCAGCTTAGACCGAGAGAGCTTCGCAGAAAGCGAAGCGGCGCCTTCCTCCTCACCAGACGTTTGCATCGTAAAAAGTGTTCCTGAGTCATGAGGTATTACGCCAGCACGTTAAGTAACAATGTCACCACCGCCAACTTTCAATCGCCGAATGTGTGTGAGTTATCTCAGCCGCGTGTCAACGCAGTCACCGAGGAGAGGACCAACCTGAATGAGGCAATGCCTCTTGCACGTCTGGGTGGCCTGGGCCGCTGTAGGGCGGGGCTGCAGGGCGGGGCCAGTCCGGTTTCGCGATGGCCAGGGCAGGAAGCCTGCACTCCTGTGCAGGCTGCCCGACAGCCCCCTCAGACCCGCTGTGGACAGCCAGGCCGTGCTCTCCGCTGCTGGGACACCCCCGTTAAGGCCCCCCTGCGCCTCGTCGACCACTTCTGTTCGACACCACCCGACATTTCCAGCCCCTGCTGGGGGCGGTGGTTCCTTTCCCTGCAGCTCCTCCCTGGGCGTCGCCCGCCCTCCCCCGGCCACAGCTGCCTTCCTGCCGCTCCTCACCCAGCACCCGGAGACCGTGGCTGCTCCCCAGGCTCTGGCTAGCACAGAAGCGGGTCTCAGTGGCCTCACCCAGGGCTGTGTGCACCCCCACCCGGCCCTCCCCACACTGTCCTCCCGAGGAGCACACGCAGCTCCGGTGGCAGAGACCTGAGCTGTGACAGGGCGGCGGGTGCGTCCCCGGAACCGGGCTCACCTGAATGCCGTCTAGCAGCCTGCTCATGCACCAGTACGTGTCGGCCTCCACGTTGCGCAGCACGTCGGCGGGCACGCGGGACACGTCGGCGACGTCCGCGTCCTTCTCCTCTGCGGAGCACGGGAGAGACAGGAGTTACCCAGGGCACAAGGACACGGGGCACCGGCCGGGTGGCCGTCACCTCTGCAGGGCCCACCGCCGTTGCTCTAGCCAGGGGTGTCCCAGGACAGCTGTGAACGAGGCCCGGCAAGGGCCGAAAAGTCCCCGAGAACCCGGTGAGATGATCGCACGGCAGGTGTACCTAACGTGTGGCCCCCACAGCTCCCCCTCCTCCCGTGCGGCCCGGAGACGCCGAGATGCTGCCGCCCGCGGAGGAGCGGCCCGTGTCCCTGACGCCCCAGCGCCTCATCAGATGCAGACAATTAATATTCTCAGTCCTCTCCAGTTAATTAGCATCAGTAATAGACTGTAAGTGATTGCTTCTCAGGCATTTCAGATCCTAATAAGAGAGAACCTAAATACACCATTTATTCCTAGAAGAGACCTGAAAGTTTTCCACAGCATTAAAAATTCAGTTTCTGAGACATTTTCACATGCATTCAGTAATAACTCCTCTGACAGCCCGTTCCAAGGTCAAAGCGTCCGAGGCCGAGCAGGAAAGTCCTCCGCCGCGGTGAGCAGAGAGCCAAGCGAGTGGTAACGCACACGTCTGGGAGGAGAACGGGCAGTGAGGGCACACACCGCCCTCCCCGAGTGCGGGACGAGTCCCCGCAGAGGAGGCGAGGAGATGCGAGCTCTGAAGTGAAAAACAGACCCTGGGACAGCGTCTCGGGCGTCCGAACAAACCAACTTCCAACCTTTACAAAGTCGCTGTCACGCAGCACAACACCCGTCGGTGACCCCAAACCGTGTACCCCGTTCTTAAAATTCTATTCACCTTCATTTTACTTTGCAAACGTGTGTGGCGTCTTTGCAAGCAAAACAGGTCTAAAGTAAAAAACGTGAATGTCGGGTGTTAAGAGAGACACTGGGTTTGAAGGTGGGCGGGCCCAAGGTGAGGGGCTGGAGGCCCTTGAGGACAGAGGTCGCAGCCTTGGGGGCGGGGTCACCTCCGGGGATTAGGGCGGGACTCAAGTCACTGCGCACCCAGTCGCCTTCCCAGCTCCAGGACCGCAGTCACAGACTCTGGGGCCACAGCAACCCCACCCCCAGGGGGCGAGCGTGGGCCGCGTTCCCAGTCCCAGGGAGCCGAGTTCTCCCTGGGAGAAGCATTCGTGCATACACACATGGCTGTTAAAGCCCCAATGAAGCCCCAGCTTGTGTGGCTCAGTGGTTGAGTGCTGGCCTGAGAACCAAAGGGTCGCTGGTTCAACTCCCAGTCAGGGCACGTGCCTGGGTTTCGTTCCAGGTCCCCAGCAGGGCGCGCACATGCGTAAGCGACAACCACGCATCCGTGCTTCTCTCCCTCCCTCCCCCCTCTCTAAATATGAATAAATTTCTTTTTCACTAACAATAAATCCTCGTGGAGAATATGTTTTTACTGATTTTAGAGAAAGGGAGGGAGGGAGAGAGAAGAAAAGGGAGACAGGAGGAGAGAAACATCAATCAGGTGCCTCTTCCACACACCCCAACAGGGACTTGAACTCACAGCCTAGGTCTGTGCCCTGACAGGAACCCAACCTGCAAGCGTTTGGTGGGCAGGACGATGCTCCGACCACCGGAACCCGGGCCACAGCCACGCGCAGCCTGTTAACGAGCCAGAACCAGACTGGAGACCAAGGCCCCGGGCTTGTCATGCATGAACCGCCACCGCCAGGCACCGAGAGTTCCTCGTGGACTCGTGTTCAAGGCTGCTGGGCGGTCAGCGCGCCCCAAACGGCCTGACCTTCCCGAGGCTGGACAGGGGCTGCTCGGGGCCTGGGGACGGACACCCACCACAGCCCGGCCTCGAGGCGGCAGGCGCCCTGGCGCTGCCCAGGCGGCCGCTCCCCCAGACAGGGCGGGTGTCACTCTCCGCTCTGCCACAAAGCACTGCGGATGGTGTTTCAATCCTTGCTAATTTGATAGACAAAAATAGAACTGCGGTATCGGTTCAATTTGCATTCTCGTTCCTTGTGAAGCTAGACTTGTTTTCAGTGTATTAGTCATTTCTGTTCCCCACTTCACAGCATCTCTGCTCATTTCCAAAAAGAACTTTTCTGAACGTTTGCTGTTCCCAAGTGTGAGAAATGGATCCTGAGGACAAACACCCCCCAGCCCCAGAATGGGGAGGGCAGGGGGGCGCCGCTGGGCCTGAGGGGCCAGGCCGGCCTCACGGCGCTGACGCTAAGGAGCTGCCCATCGACTTCCTTCTGGTCGATGTGCAGCAGGAAAGATCGAAACTCGGGACGCGGTGCTGGGGTGGCTGGAAAGTAACTCACTGGCTTGACCTTTCCTACTCAGCTCCACAACAGCGCACTTCTAATCAAATACATCGATGTGTGCTAATTAACCTGCTTGGAGTCAGTCAAAATTAACAAACCACTTCAACAATAAATCAGAAAGTCATAACGGGCGTCTCCATTTCTGTCGGCACACCACGTGACCGGGGACCGCGTCACAGCGCCGGGTGCGAGCACACCCCACCCGACCACATGGCCCGCCCTGCACACTGTCCTTACAGCCACCAAACACGCTTCCCAGCAAGAGAAGCAGCTGTCAAGAACCACTCCTTATTATTCAACTATTAAACTTCCTTAATCACCCGTCAGTTTAACTGCTCCTGCCACGGGTTATAAATACCGTCTTGTGGCTCAGGAACACGCTGGGAGGTAACCCCTTCACCGCCAAAGCTGACCGGACCCCTGGATTTCCGGTCCGCTGTCCTTCACTGGGCTCCGGTCATTTCCATCTCAATGGGGCGCCAACGTGCAGAAGCATTTCTGCTGATTTACGCGGGACAACGTGGAGAAGCTGCCTGTCACGCTGTGCGGCACTGTCTTCAGTCAGATCCCCAACGGGCAGATGACCCACCTCACTCTGCTGCACATGCGTGAAGACACTGACGCCCGACCACGCACGGCTGCTGTGAATCCCGTTTTCTCCTCCGCTCCAGGGGCTTGGCCTGGGCGGGCCCTCTGCAGAGAGCCTGGGGCTGCGGCAGACCCCCAGAGGACGGCTTTCCTTCCAGGACAAGGAGCAGCAGGGCCGCGGGACTGGCCGTGGCACTTCCCCCTCGTCCGTCACACCCCCACGCCACGTGCCGGGCTGCGTGGGTGGGAACCAAGCCTGCTGTCTCAGGGTTGGCGCCTGGGGGCCGCCGCGTACCGAACACCACACACGGCCCTTTCCTTCTCCTTCGAGACGACCGCATCGCCACCACAACCACACAACTGAATTAACGGCCTTTCTGGGAATCTGGGAAAGCAGGGACTTGAGAGACCAGGGGATGACACCCAACACAAGGTCACCTGGGAGGCAACCATGACACGCAGGCTGAAAGCTGGGTGGAAAGAGGCCACGGCACGCTGGCCTCCCAGGAGGGCAAGCCCGTCCTGCCCAGGAGTGGAGGCGAGGAGGGCTTCCCGGAGGAGGGGGCCGATGACTCAGGCCCTGGACGATAAACCGGCCAGCCACCTTGCTCCCCAACTGAAACCGCTCTTGCACAGCACCCCATCCGATCGAAGCCCCTCGGCCCAGCCCAAGGCTTCTCCATGGGAAGGCCCTTCTGGCCTGTCCAGACCCGTCCCGACACTCACCGGCACGGTCCCTTCCTGGGCGACGCTTGGCCTAGCTCCTTGGTGCTGCTCCTTGGCCTAGCGTGACCCACCGCTCCTCCACGGACACCCTGTGGGCCCACACTCACAGCCCGGCACACGCACCATCTCGCTCAGGGGAGGCCGGCCCTGTCACGCTCCAAGGCAGCGGTGTCTCCGGGGGAGACTCAGGAACCTGGGCCCCGGGCCCAGCCGGCGTGCGGCCCGGGGAAGGCAGACGAACGCACCCAGGAAGACACCGCACGCTCGCCCAAGGCTCTCTGGCGCCGGAGGGTTCTCCACCACATGGCGTCTTCCGGGCTCCAGCGTCTCCGACACCGCTGGGCACGGGGTCGGGGCTCTAGTCCAAGGGAGCAGGCCGAGCACCGCAGGCCGAAGCACTCCACGCCAGCACTCACATCGGCATCCCCCTGCACTGGCGTTGGTGCGTGTCTTTGGGGGTGACATCAGTGAACGAGCGACCACTGCCTCCGTCTCCTTGGTCCTCGGAACTTCCCGCCACCACACACTGAACTCACACGGAAAACAGAGAGGAGCAGCTCACAGCCCGGCCGGAAAGTGGAGCCCATGGGCCACATGCCTCCCCGCCACCTGCCCCAGGGAGAGTCCTGCATTTCACGGTGGACACAAGGACCTGGAGAGGGGTCTCCATCAACCTTCTGGGGCAGTGGCGGCTCCCGCCTTCCCGTGGGTGAGGGCAAAGCTCGGGACGTCCTCAGCCGGCCCCCCTCACCTGTGCCCAGCCCATCAGCACACTCGGAGGTCTGCTCCCAGCTGGTCAAAGCCAGCCACCAGGGCACCACCCGTCACCACCCACCCAGACTGGCTCTGTGACCCAACGACCCAGCCGGTCTCCCCAAATCCCCACTGCTGCCTCCACCTGCGCTCAGCACTTTCGCACGAGACCCTCCACCCACCGCCCCCAGGGACCTGCTCTTTCAACACCCCCCTCCAGACCAGACACCAGCACCTTCCCAAAGGCTCCCACGCCCCGCAGGCCCCCGGCAGCACCAGCGGGTGTCACCTCTCGGGCCCTTGGCGTGCTGGGCCCTGGGGCCACCTCAGGGCAGTCCCCTTGCTCAGCACATCGGGTGGAGTGACTGGCCCTCGCTGGGAGGACGGGCATTGTGAAAAGGCCTCCCCTCACTGTGGCCTGCGGTCTGAGGGCGGGCTGGGCCGGCGAGCCCCGGGCCCCGACTCCCACAGGGCACGTGCACAGGCCGCGGGCCTGAGCAGAGCAGTCTGCCCTGCATGCGCGGACACAGCACTGTGCGTGCGCACCTACGTGTGGGCGCGTGTCTCTGTGCGAGTGCTGGCCCGGCACGTGGGCGGAGTCGCCCCCAGGAAACAAGCTG